TCATTTTTAGCGTATGGTGTATCATTTTCTTTTTCACATGGATTTTTTAAGAATAGGTATCGTATCTCAGAAATATTGCTAGTACATGAAAAATATTTTAAACTTCCATGTCTTTTTGTCTTAACATTATCAAGGATTGATACCACTTAATATTTCTGTTCAGCCTTTTGTTGAAAGTTATAATCACTGTGGATATGTAAGGATGTACTACGTATTCTGCATGGTGTTGTTGTGCTACACATTTGTATTTGCATGTTAGAACAGTTTTCATAAACTTGAGCCAAATAGTGTTTCCATTCAATGATCCCTTATGATTGAATATTTTGGTCATTCCGAGTTTTTAACATACTAAGAAAATGAATTTGCAAAGCAAATTTACCATATCAAATGATGTAGAAAAAGCAGAAGGTACCTATAGTTAGAAAAAAAGAAAGAGACAGAAGCTAATACCAAAAAGAAAAGAAAATTGTAGACAAGCAGGTTTCCAAGGTCGAAGTCATACCCAAATGCAGCAATTTGTGGGACTGAGTTTCTCATACCCTGTTGATATTTTGACAGCTGATTGTGTGTGTACAGATTTGTATTACTAAAATTCCTTAGGTCAGGCATGGTGATATGTACGTGTAATCCCAGCTACTCAGGAGGCTGAGACAGAAGGGTCACAATTTCAAATTACTGTTAGTAATTTTTATTTATTTCATGTTATTGTGACCCTGTATCAAAATAAAATATGAAAAGAATTGGAGATGTAGCTCAGTTGTCAAGTACTCTGGACTGATCCACAATGCTGGAAAAAGGCTGTTTTTTTTCTTTTATAAATCTTTATCCACTAGTAACTATCACTAATGCTCTTCAAATTTTTAAATAATAGGATTTGCTTAAATCCATTGTTTCAAGAATGAAGAAGTCAGTAGAAGATGATGTTTTCATACCTCTGTATCCAAAGAGGTAACAATTATTAGTTTCTATATTGGTTGTAATGTTCCCTCATGTAATACAGATTTAAGCATACATTACAGGGGCCAGGGAGGTGGCTCAGTAGAATAAGCACTTCCCTGTCAAGCGCAAGGGCCTGAGTTCAATCCCCAGTTCCACCAAAAAAAAAAAAAGAATGCATTGCAGAAGCACAGTGTTTTCAAAGCATACACATCTGTTAAGATGAAAATTGAGTTTTCAGCATACTTACTTATTCTGCAATTATTTTAAGGAATCCTGAAAACATGAGGGCATCATAGTGGTAAAGAGCAGGACCTACCCTTGGTGTAGGTGGACTTGGGTCTTTCTGTGTCTCCGTGTCCTCTCCATAGTGAGGGAAAAATTAATAGCTACTTCCACAGGGCAAGAGAAAGCTGAAGAGACTGCTCCGAACAGAGCAGTGCCAGCACAGAGGAGCTATAGCCTAAGCTGAGACCCTCAGTGAAGGGCCAGAAGCTGCAGCTGTGGTTCTCTCTGCTTTATGAAACATGTAGTAGTAGAGACAGGCATGAGCTAAGAAGGCTTCCATATTGTTACACTGTGAAATGTAGCCACCCAGTGAGTCTTACAGGATGGAAGTGCTTTATGGAGGGGGAAAAGGAACCCTAGAACTTTTAAGAATTATGAATTGTGAGCAGGCACCTACCTGTGAAAATTCTCTCTAGGTAAAGTTTACTTTGTAGTGTTTTAGAATGCCTAATACATTCACATAGTTTAGAAGTACTGTATTGAATGTATTTTGTTAATTTATTTAAAATGAAAAGTTTCACTTCAACCCTGACCTTCATCCACTCAGATTTTGCCTTTACCTTTCTAACATAGTTATACATATAACAACAATCAGTAATTTTTATCTTTTCTGACCTTCATGCACATAGAAATTAATACTCATCTATGCCGTAATCTTACTTCTCCTCCTCTCTATAGCAGAGTATCTTATAGACAGCCATAACCAGTTTTACACTTTTTTTTCATTTAACACCTTTGAAATGATTTCACATGATCTTTTTCAGCTGTATACTGTGCTGCCCCGTATTTATCCTGTAAGGCATGGGTGCATTAGTGGTAAATGCTTGCCCACAGTTGTGGCATAAATAACCTGCCTAATACTCTGTGCGTGTGCAAACATCGATAAAGCCAGTCACAGAAATGCAACTGTTGGATCAGAATGTGGATGCATTTCCAATTTTGATAGATAAAGTCAGAAAACATCCACTTGTATTCCATTAAAACTTATTTCCATTGTTTAAAAGTGTTTTTTTTTCTTATACTTCTTTCTTCTTCCAATTTTACCTGCATATACCCGGTAATATGAGTAACTAGTTAGAAGACAACACTACGTATTACAACAAATTCATGTTACTTTAAGTGAAGTTCTGTATCACTTACAATTTTTTTTGTTTTAATACTATTTTTGTATTTGCTTTAAAAAATTAAAAAATTTGTAAAAAGTTTTTTAAAGTGAGCATGGTGGCACCACCCCTGTATTGCCAGCACTGAAGAGGCTGAGGCAGGAGGATCACTGCGAGTTTGAGGCCAACCTGAATCACATAGAAAATTTAAAAAGTTTTTAAGCTCAGTCTCCTAAAAGGTTAAGTCTTTAGAATTTTCTCCTTTCTCTTTGTTTCAAATTATTAGCACTGTAGAAGATAAAACATCAGCGTATTCAAAGTTCCAAGAGAGACAGTTCTGGTCAGCTCTAAAGGTAAGCAAAGACCACAGAAATACAAATGTCATTTCTCGCCTACATGTGAAAGACAAAAACATGGTCAAAACCTATGAACATAGGGTCAGAGTCTTAAGTTTCTGGTGTTGACTATGTTTTCACTGCTAGCCTCTAACTTTTTAAAAAAATATTGTAAAGGATATGGGGAGGGAAAAAAAGATGAGGAAAGATGAGGTCTATCTTGAACATAATAAATGCGAGACAAGTAGAATTCAAGAAGTCTAGAAGGCATTGGTTTAGGAGTCACTGTTTCAGGGGACACATCTCACCTGAGGGTATGTCTGCTTATTTGTAGCCACAGCCATGAATGACAAGTTCTGAGAAGAGTGGTTGAGGTGTGAGGAGAAGGCTGAGGTCAGAACTCTGGGAACACTTTCAGAAGAGAGGTCAAGGGAAAAGTGGTCCTCAGAGAAATGGCCTTAGAATGGCTGTAGCACAGTAGTTCACGGCTATCAATGAACAAAAGGTTATGGCTCAAACAAAAAACAAAAGAAAGAATATGTTTATTGGATTTGACCATTGAAAGGACATAGATCACCTCAACGAGTTGTTTTTAATAGAGTGAATGCATGTTTGTCATGTCTTTGAGTTAAGGCAGGGCTTTTCAGGATGGGGAACAATATCAACCTTGACATTGTGTGAGAAAACACTACATATTAGTATAGTAAATAAAATATTAGAAGGAAAGTGGACACAGCTTAAAATTACCAGAAAGCCTGGATTGAGAGGAGGGAAAGGGAACCAGTATTTATTTCATGGGCTTAGGCTATTCATGCAGCCCATCTCCAAATGCTATTCTTACTGTATAGAGCAGAGAAATGACACTGTCAACACTGAGTGACTTACACTTTGGTAACCATGACACTGCCTTTGACAGCAGCCCTTTATGAGCCAGTGGTACCAGGATCTGAGAGCGTGGATTGGGAGCAAGAGTGTTGATACAGAAAGGCCCCGGTAAAGCCAGATTGGGGTGGATAGTCTAGAAAATCAAAATCGGCTGAACAGATACATAGAGGTTGGAAAGAAGCAGATAATTTGTCAGAGATGTTTTCTATTCTAGAATTGAGAGTGCCAGTGGATCTAATTGTGAGATTGAAAGTTTGGTCAAATTTGTTTATCTTTGTTAGAGACTATTATTATTTCTTTTTAGAAAACAAGTACATATTCACTTGGTATTTTATTTTAGCTCTTCCGTAATACTCTTCTTTGGAGCAGCCTCCTCCCAGATGACACACTGAAAGAGCTAGCACTAGGAAAGCTGCTCCAGCGCTACCTGATGGTAACTCTTCCTAATGCCATTCCTGGGCCAGATGTTGTGAAAAAGTGCAGCCAGGTAAGTTGTATAGGAGCCAATCGAATTTTTGTCATTTTTAAAATATAGCCATTAAAGGGCTGGCCAAATAGCTCAATGGATTAAAGTGCCTGCAAACAGGCACAGGGGCTAGGGGTTCCATCACCAGGCCTACCCTTCCAGCCCCACCCCCAGGGCACACTGAGAGGCGATTGAGACCAGGCATGGTGGCATGCGCCTGTAATCCTAGCTCTTAGGAGGCTGTAAACAGGTGGATCACTACCAGAGCACACACCATTAAAGTTTGCCTTGCAGCAAAATAAAATTGTCATGTTCACATAAGAATAGACATCAGTTTAACAGAGTAGAAACCCAGAAATAGTCTCTGTATTTAAGGTTTAATATTCTAGCTTGAAATACCACTAACAGAGGGAGAGAAAATTACTTACCCAGTGATGCTGGGACAACTCTATAAAAAAGAATGTTAGGTCCTCATCTCTGACCATGACACATTTCAGGCGAGGGCTGGGGTGCAGCCTAGTAGATCACCTGCCTAGCGTGTGCAAGGCTCTGGGTTCAGGCCCAAGCACTACAGTCAATCATTCAATCAGTTTTAGGTGAAAAAAGCTAAATGTAAAAGTGAAATTACAAGATATCCTAGGAAAATAAATAGCTGAAAGTAGGGAGTTCTTTCTAAACATACAGACAAAAGAAATTATGAGTCAAAAGATTTGACAGGAATGTAAAATAACTAGATTAAAGAAGAAAGAAAAAGGTAGTAAAATTCACTGATGATTGTTAAGGAATTGAGTGCATTGCGTTCATCTTGGTACGGAAGCCGAACCCAGGGCTTCCACAAGGAGCTACATCTCTACCACTTTAATTTGAGGTAGTCTCACTTTGCCATCATCTTCCCTCAGCTTGGCAGAGTGCTGGGATTATAAACCTGTACTGTGAGGCCCAGTTTTCCTGATTTTTATCTTTGAAATCTACCAGTATAATAAAAAGTTAAAAAGAAGGGGAGTTGAGAAGATAGGTAACTAACACATAACAAGCATTAAGATCCACATTGATTGAAAAGCTCTTTTTAACTTAGCAAACATTTTAGATGTTCTTACTGAAAATGACCCAGAAGTACGCACCAGTCAAGATAGGAAAAAAGGATGTACAAAAACAGTGTGCAAAAATGTTTCAGTCAACAGTACTAATAACGGCTGGAGAAGTGCACCATTATGTAGTGAAGATGCTTGTTCACAAGTCCTGTTGAGGAACGTGTTCTTGCTGTGTGATTTCGCCTGTAACAGCCAGTGTTGGCACAGTGCTGGCCCTGCAGGAGCAGGCATCTCGCACCAGGAATACACGGGTAGCGCAGTGGTTCTAGGGAAGTTTTCAGCACTGGTGGGCCGAGGGCAGAGCTCTGTTGGAGTATATTTTAGCATAATGGGTGCAAAACTTTTATTGAAGTTAATCCCCTTTGACTCCTCAGTGAAAAATCAGAACTATGCATAAGGATTTTAAGGGTGAAAAAAATGTGGCATTATTCATAATACAAGATCATTGGAAACTACCTATATGTCCCCCAAAACATACTGATAAAGGTAAAAGTCATGTTAAAGAGTTATTTTTAATTATCAGAAAATACGTATTTTATAGTGTAATTTGTAAACAGAACAACATAAGAACCTGTATATCAGTTCCTAGTTGACCATGAATTTGGTCGACTTTCCAATTTTTAATACAAATTAAAAATTTAAATTAAATTTTAAAATTAAAAATTTAAATCACTTTCTTTGTATGTCTCTCAGGATCAGAGTAGTCTCCTTTGCCCATAAAGATCTAGTGTGAAGGGGAGAAGAGGAAATACGTTTACCCGGCATTTCCTTGTTGCTTGAAGTCCTGGAATCTTTTGTGCTCAGGCCTCCTCAGGACTGAGAATTTATTGAGACCTGTGATACAAATGAAAGAGGAAATTAAGTTGCAAGCCAGTAAAAGGCTGGTTTTAAAACATCTGAACAGAGATTTTGCGTAATACTAAATGCCAGACCTGCCTAATGCAACCATGTGTCTGAATTATTTTTGTGAATAATTAAAAAAGAACTAGTGAGTGTACTCATTTTGCTGCCATGAACACTTAAAGCAACGTAGTTAATTTTTAGATAATCAAAACCATAACGGATTTTTATTTCATTCCACCTGTCTTTGAATCACTATTTGATTCCTTACCTGTGATTTATGTAGATCATATACTAGGCCTCCCAAGTTCTGTTTGTAAAATAATACTAAAGTTACATATTTTATAATTTTGTTGACTGACAGTACTTTGTCTCCAGGTACTTGCGGGTTTTGTAAATTAGTTTTTGTATATATTGAATAGCTTAGGAAATAAAAGTATAGAATAATTACAGGTGTTCATGAAAAATGGTTTATTTTAAACACTAATAATTTTTTTCAAATGTTACATATAACCTTTGATACAAAATGAAAAACTTTAGAAATTTTTATTAGAACATAAGCTATAAAATGAGAATATTCAAATTCCGTAATCGCTGTAAGATTATGCTAGCAGGGTCCTTAGGTAGCTGTCCTTGTGGTAAATAGCCAGTGTTTTGATTGACAGATAGCAGCATGTCTACCTGAAATGTGGTTTGAAAATCCTGCTATGAAGACATCTATTCCCCAGATGGAAAGCTTCATTCAGTTTTTATTGCAATCTGCACGTGATTTATCTAGAAGTGAATTCAGGTAATGCATATTTGTATTTATTTACATTAGACTTTTAAAAATCTGTTAAGATATTATAATACTACAGAATTAGTAGATTTTTTGCAGTTACTTTGGAATTGCTTGTCACTTTATATTCATACCTCACGCTTACTCATTTTTAAGTATAACTCTCCACAGTTTTTTTAAACTGCATGTCACAAATTTAAGCTATAAATTAAAAATCCTTTGCAAATAGTTTGAAATGTATTTTTAATTTTCTTGACCATTTGTAAAGGCTCAACACAACTCTGTGGGTTTATTGCCTGATGTTTAGCCAACAATACCTAGATCCATGTTTTGAATGTCTCATTGATAGCAGCAAGTATTTAGAAAATTAAATACAGTAGGGTTCTAACAAAATACCTCGGCAAAAACAATGTAAAAGCCCCAGATTTGTAGCATTTGCTGGTGTTCTTGTGTAATCATACCATGGCTCCCACAAGCCGGTAGCAGCATAACACTACTAGGATTCGACAAATCTCCTCTGTGCTTTTCTCCTTTTTAATAGATACTCATATTGAAATTTGCCAGATTATATTCACAGATAGTCTATGTCTGGGTCCTATAAATGTAGTTGTAGGTAACGTGATAGGGCTACGTTCTGAGCAGTGAATCATGGGGTGACTGTGGTTGCGCAGGTATCACAAGGTGTACGTACACGGATCGAGACAGCGTAGCCGCCTACACCCCTGGGCTTGTCACACACATACATACCTAGAAAGAAAGGAAGGATATCCTCTTGTTATTATGGTCATGGTGAATAAAACACAAAGTTAAGTCAGTCACAAAAAATGATGCAGTCAAGAAATGCAGGAAACATGAAATGTATGAGGCTGCTGGCATCTTGACAGCAGATTACTTTAAACACTGTAAACATTTTTCCTTTTTTTTGTCCTTGGAATCCAACTTAGGACCTTGTCCTTGCCAGGCACTGTAAGCTTTTTATAAGTAGAATTACTATCTAAACAATGATGAAATAGCACAGTAAAGTAGACCTGTACGTGAGTAGCATAGTCATGTATGGGCTGATGCAATAGCTCAGTGGTCTAAAGTGCCTGTTAAGCAAGCTTAGGCAAGTTTAAGCAGGTGCAGGGGACCTCAGTTCAGTCCACGGCACTACATGCTGTGCCAGTCCCACCCTCAGGGCAGGCTGAGTGGGCCAAGAAAAAAAAAACAGTAGCATAATCACTTATGGGCAAGGCTTATACATAATTTTACTACTCTACTTTATTCACCTGGCAGAACAGTAAGTTCATATACATCATCACCACCACAAGCACCTGAGTAATGTGTCGCAGTGTGACATGAGGATTGGCGCGGTATTGGTCTGTGATAGAAATTTTTCCACAGTTCTTCTGAGCAGTCTTGCATTGTGTGGCTGTAAAGATGGTAGCATTTTTGTGTTTAAAAGAAGGTAGTAGTTGTAGAAAGTGACTTACGCTAAGCTGAAGATAAAGCTTTGGCCAGGGAGATAGCTCTGATGAGCGTGTACTTGGCCGCACTTGACCCCTGTGCTTTATCCCTAGCCCTGATACCTTGCTTTATAAGTGTGGAGGAATACTTTTTGGTTTTGTTTTTCAGGAATGAAGTCAAGGAAATAATTCTTATTCTGGTGAAAATAAAAGCTTTGAATCAAGCAGAATCCCTCCTAGAAGAAAATCACCTAGATGATCTGAAGTCATTAATTAAAGAAGTTTGAATAAACTTTGTAAGAAAGAACTAATAGGAGATGTCAGCGTAGTCACACTCATTGGCTTTCCTTGGAAAAGGCCGATGCCTCTTTCTTCCCTTGGGTGGAGGCAGGGTTTGCAGAGGAGCAGAGCCCCTCACTCCATCCCTGCACACTACCCTCTGGTGGCCTGAAAGGCTCCCCTTCCCGATTCTTCCCTCTGTGAAAGAATTAAATGTGTGGGAGCAGTAAGAATTCAGTGTTTCTTTTTGTTTCCTTCTTTTTCAGTTTTAAAGTGGCAGAAATCCCGCATGTAACTGCTTTAACTTAGGTTATTTATTTGAACTACCTCTGTAAGACTGAACTAGAATGAATTGTTTTTGTTTTTGGGTTTTTGTTTTGTTTTGTTTTGTTTTGTTTTGTTTTTTGTGGAACCATGGATTGAACTCGGGCCCTTGCGCTTGCCAGGCAAGCACTTATTCTACTGAGCTATCTCCCCAGCCCCCTAGAATGAATTAAGTATTAAATAGTTGAGACATTTTAAGGCATTCTACAACTGTTAATGGGATTGTGCTTGAGAAATCTGTAGTGATGTTTTGAATCAACACAAATGTAAGAGCCCTGTTGTATCCCCATCAGTACCACATAGGTACTGGTATTATCAGCTTTGTCATCCGTTGCCAATTTGATAAGAAGAATTTGTTACTTTCTTTTGGCTGTTAGTAAACATGTTGGTCTTAGCCATTTGTAATTTTTTTTGAAATACTCATTTTTTTAAAGGCCTTTGTATATTAAAAATACTGATCTATTGCCTGAACTGCATAGGAAATAGCTTTTCATTCATTTTTTAAATTTTTATATAAGATGGTTTCCATTGTAAGTCTTAACTCATTAGCAAGTTTCTGTTCTTTTTTACAATTTTGTCATTGGTGGTGTGATAAAAAGGAAACATTTTAAATACTTGGGACATTTGATTCCTTTTCTGATAAAATAATGCTTGTTGGCTTAAGAATTACTAATGCGAGGTAACTAAAAAGAAATTAAGTTTTGAGAATGAGATTTTACCAGTAATTAAGTCTGTTTGTTAAGTAACTTAGGCAGCTTTAAATACATATTTTGCAAAGTATTGCCCAAAAGATACTGAGAAAAAATGATTAATATTAATAGGGTTTTTATCACTCTTTGTTAATTTTTACTTTAAAAATCACATGTATTTTAACAGGTTCATTACCTCTACTGCAGTGAGGTCTTTGATTCACTAGTGTGAAAGATTTTTTAAAACTTTCAGTAGTTGTATAAATTACTGCTGAGCTATACCCTCAGCCTTTTAAAACAATTATTTATTTTGTTTTTTATTTTTAAAAAGAAAAATCAAAAACCATAATTTCAAAACAGTGATAGGAGGGTAACAATGGTTTTGTATTTTGTTATCTTTAAATTAGTTAAGAGTACAAAATAGCAGCATTTAATTGTCTAAATAATATTAGCACAGACCTATCTTTTCAATTAACTAAGAGAAATTAATAGTATAATATCTTAAGTGTATATTTTTCTTTTGCTTTTCCCTTTCTTCCTTTCTCCATTCCCTCAACACAGTTTCTTTTTTTTAAGCTTTTTCCCATTTTGCATTACCTGCTGTACATTATATACTCTTTCAGCTTCCCACACTGAGGAGACAATAGGATGTTTGCATATAAAACAAGTATTTCAAGACAGCATCTTTGTGGCCTGCAAGGAAAGCCAACATTTTGGCCCTGGCCTTCCAAGGTCAAGACTCAGGACATAGGAGAACCTGTACTGTAACATCATGTAACTCAGTAGTGTCCCAAATTTTCTGATCAAGGAGATTATGGGGCCAAAGAGGAAAGTGATCGATGATGTAGAATGTACCTAAGGATAGTCACATGGAGAGAAAACATTCTCTCAGGCTTTCACAGAGAGCACAATGGCCGGGCAGTGGCCGTGACTCATCCACATGGCTGACACTGACAAAGGATCTGCAATCTGAGGTACAGAGTCTCAGAAAAAATCCTAAGGGGATTTGACTGACCTTATCAGATCCAAAAGCTACAGCTCTTGTTGCATAGGTCCTGCTTTACCTTGGTCTTAACCATCCAGCAGAAAAGTATAAAAACGAAATACAAGAAGTAAAGCCATGCTGTTATGTTGAGCTGTAGGGGACTCAGGTCAACAATTTCTGACACTGCCAGTCAAGAGGAAGACCCAGTACTATTATGGATTACTGGACTCTTAGAATATTTTGCTGAGTTAACACACTTAGAATATTCAAATGATGGAACTAAACAAAAAAGGGGATACAGCTGAATGTCCATTTTGTATCTGTGTATTCAAAATGGTTAGGATAGATAGTTACATTCTCTTAATGAATAGAGGGATTTGTTGCAATAGTGTTTGTAAATAGGACATCATGTCTGCATCTTGTACAGCAAATAACCACTAGGAAGAGAGTATGCAATGTGTTAATTACTGAAACTCATACCAGTTTGATTTGAAACTGTCTCATTGCTATTTGTCTCTCAGTAAAATTATGGGGAAAAAAAAAAAGACAGCATCTTGCTAAGTTGCACAGGCTAGCTTCAGACTTCTGCTCCTCCTGCCTTAGTGTCCTGGGTAGCTGGGATTACAGGTGTGCGCTGCTCTGCTCAGCTACTTTTTTTCAGTTTTTATTTCATTTCAATTTTTATTTGTATTCGTATATATTTGTAGTACATAATGAGTACATTGCTTGTGCGGAGGTGACACATGCACATAACACATCTTAATTCCTTCTTTCATCGCCTTCCCCTCCACTTTCTCTTCCTCCCTCCACGTCGTGATTCCTTTCCCTTTGCAGAAGATCTAGCTCCCCTTTTCCTGTTATCTAGCTTAACTGTCATTTTGGGTTTCATTCCTTTTTGGTTTTCTCGTATAAGAGAAGCCACGCGTTATTTGCCCTTGTGTATATTTATTTCAGTTACCATTATGGTCCCATGCATAGTGAGACCCTGTACCAAATACATAAAAAAAGAAAAGCATTATAGTCTCAAGGTGTACCCATTCTTCTACAAGTGACTCAGGTTCACCTTTCTTTTGTCTAACTAGTACTGTATCGTGTATAAATACCAGTTTCTTAGTCCTTTCATCTGCTGATAGAGACGACTTCCAAGATTTATCTTATGAATTATGATGATATAAACATGGATATTCATATATCACTGTAATATGCTGTGCTTTTAAAAAATACTTTAAAAATATTTTTTAAAGAATACAAAATAGTGACAGAAAGAAATCACATTAGAAATACATGATTTCACTAAACAAAGTAATAGGAATTTGGGGCCAGGGAGATGTCTCAGTAGAATAAGCGCTTCCCTGGCAAGGGTCTGAGTTCAATCCCCAGTTCTGCAAAAAAAAAAAAAAAAGTAATAGGAATTCAACAATGGTTGCTGTATTACATGACTCTATCTTCAAATCAGTTGTTCAGATTACCAGATATAAATGTAAGATTCATTTAAAGAAACAAAAGAAAAAACAGTAAGTTGTAAGAAATTCAAAAGAAAAAAAGTTTTAAAAAATTTTAAGCATTAACTGATTTCAAAAGACCAGCAGAAATCAGTACAATTATCCAAAGTATTCTGCATACATACCTAAATATGTCCTTTTCCTCATCCCAGAGTTTCCTTCCCACTGAACAAATTCTTTCCTTTTCACAGTATCCATTGTACCTTTTATATTTATTTATTTATTATTTTGTATTTTAGGGAAAGGTCTGCTGGGTGTTCAGGGTCTCACTACTAGATTGGACTCATAGTGATCTGCCCGCCTGTTTACAGCCTCCCAAGAGGGGATTGCAGGTGCGTGCCGCCGCGCCCAGTCTCAATTGTCCTCTCAGTGCGCCCTGGTTGGAGCCAAACCTCTGTCCCTGCGCCTGCTCGCAGGTGTTTTAGTCCACTGAGCTATTTGGCCAGCCCTTGTTGTACCTTTTAGATTTTCATTACTCTTACAAGTTCTCACACTCATGAGATAATATGATGTTTGCACATGTGGGTCTGATTAAGTCTACCTAAAATATAGTCTCTAGCTACATCCATTTATTTACAAAAGCCTCAGATTTTTTTATAGCTGAATACTACATTGTGTAAAAATAAATCACATGGCAATAAAATTACATTGTAAAATTCAAACCATTGCTTAAAAGCTTTAGAGACGTAGGGGGAAGAGGGATGAAGCAGAGTTCAGCTGTGAAATGCACATGAACCCACGCTCCAGGATGAAAGTAGCACGTACTCTAAACATGTGTATACTAATAAGGACTTTAAAAATTTTAAATAAGCCAGAAAAAAAATTTACGAAAAGGAAAAAAGCATTTAACATTCTTGTACAACTGACTTCCCCAGTGAGAAATGTAGTTTTCATTTTAGTGTGACTCTTTGTTTACTAAACTGTGTGTGTGTATATTTATGTAAATGACAGATATTTTATAATATATGAAATTTGTACATTTTTTTTACTAGTAAAGCCAATAGTGGGAAATACCTCTGACTTTTGGATTTTTTAATTGCAAATGTATTAGATGTATTGCCTTATAAGCTGAGTAAAGATACTTTTCTTCCTTTGCATGCATTGGAGAGCACTGGAACTTTCAACTACTTCCATGTTAAATTTCATTGTTCCTGGAGTGTGAACCTCAAAGATTTATCATACACTGTAATTAAAAAAATTACTGAAGCTTACCTAATTATCAGAGCAAATATTTTCCCTGTCCCTGTGTGATGGACAGAATGAAGGAGGAAGATGACTATCAAGGACAGAGCATGGAGCTGGCGGCTGACTTGACATCTTAATTGTTCCCGAATTTTTCTTCAGCTTTTTGTTCACTTAATGTGAAAACAAGAATGTGAAACTTTCGTAGATATGAAATGTTTTTATCAAAATGAGAAAATCATTTCACAATTTTTACATTTTATAGGCCCATGATGAAATGTATGTAGACAATTCCTAAGAAATACATAAAGAACTTAAAAATAATAAGAAAATAGCCTAGTACTTAAAATGAATATAGACATAAAAGTTTTGAGTTATTAGCAAATTGCATCTAGAAGTGTAAAAACAGAATAAAATGAAAGACCAGCAAAGGCCTTGCATACAATTTTTGAATAAAGAGCCAAGTCTATTCAGTGGGCAGTCTCTACCAGCATCGGTAAAACCGGATGCCTAATTTTGTGTGTCACCTGTCTTCTGTTTCTACACACACCATAGAAAGCACAAAGGAATCACAGATGTAAATACAGGACTCGGGTGTATAGAAAAACCACAGAATAGCTTTGGTTGGGGGCATGTAAAAAT